ACTCTAAAAGTGAAGCTTTTGAGCAGATGTTGGCAGCTGGACCTCGGCCTACATGTTTTAATGCATTATGTTTCCATGTCTATACAATCTCTTTGTGATCTATGACCTATAAATCTCACCCATAAATTTTTGCTGCAAAAAAATGGAGTACTTCCGTACTTCCACTTAAGTCTGGAGTTGAAAGAACACTTCAACTTTTACTCAAGTCAGTTTTTTTATACAGTACTTGTACTTCTACTCCAGTACTTTATAATCTCTGATGGTGATTAAATCAGCTATATATCGTATCGTTTGGTCTCGGTGATGATTCACTGTGTGAGCTGAGGTTAAATAACCTGATTTACCATTTCTGAGCAGCGGGTTTATCAGTGATTACCGGTAATGAGCTAAAATCAGCTAAAAGCAGCCGAGGCCTTTATGAATATCAGCAGCTATTACAGTCTCTCCTTCAAAAGGCCACATCCAAAAAGGACCTCTAATTGTAATTAGCCTGTAAGTAAAGCTTTAAAAGAGGCCTTTTTTTATTTATATTCGGTCTTGGAGAAGTCTTAATTCTCGGTCTGGGGAGCAGCAGAGCTGTGAGTCAGCCTTATTTTATTTTATTTTCCCCTCCGTCTGTGTAATGGAACCAAACCGGAGTGAGATAATGCCCACCTCCCTCTCACAGGAAGTAAAACGCTCCGGGGGTGGAGCCATGCTGCCCCCTGCTGGCCGGGGGGGGGGAATAGCTCACAGCTACTGACCAGTACGAGAACATCCAAGGATGGATATCCAACTCCACCCATGTAGGCGCCATATGCCCATTTATGTACATTTATGTATATTTATGTGTATTTTTAATTTATTTGTTTATGAGAATTTGGTATTTCATTTAAATTAATGAGTGACATTAATAATTTAAGTTAAAATTATTTAGACGTTTAAAATGTGAATTTAAAATATTTACTTTTCTTAATGCGCCTTTAATGACGTGGTAATTATGCGCCAGGTGCCCAGTACGGTTGTCTTTGTAAAATTGATACAGCAGAAGAAAGGTTGGTGCCTCACGGTTTTCTGACCGTGTTACCCCGTGTTACCCATGCTAACCCATGCACGTGACGTGCTCG